ATGTCAAAAACAGTAAAATTGCTGCAAAATTCAAACTGTGGCACCAGAAGGGGAACTGGGTTGTCTGCTCAGGGCCACATGCGAGCAGTGCCAGGTTGCAAAGGCGGATGAGTAAGTGACACTCAGTCCAAAGCAAAGGTTTCTAACAGCCATGATTATCTTTTAATGGTCTTTTTTTGTTTTAACCTTGCAGCACTGGGACGTCTTCAAATACGTGACTGAGGTATTTATCTTAGTACCTGCATTACTGGGACTGAAGGGGAACCTAGAGATGACTCTGGCGTCTCGCCTGTCGACAGCTGTGAGTACTGAGGGAGCAGGATACCTGGTTGGGGAACATATGCATGTGTGGTGGCTGGGCAGACAAAAATCTCTCTGTGCACGGGCCTGTGAGGTCAGTGACCACTGAAACCAGAGCCTAGAGTTTAGCATGCTGGGAAGGTGTCTTCATCCCACTGGACCGATCAGATTTGAAGGCTTAATAGTCCTTAAGCTTTGCTGACGGTTCACTTCCTTGTCATGGCTGCTCGTGGGCCTGGAGGCACGGTGCGTGAGCTGGCTTTGGCAGTTTAATGTCTGGAGTGCTTGGATCCGGTTTTCTTCATGAGGCAGCTGGGTGCAGGCATGTCATCAACGCAGGATAAAACAAGCCAGGTGAACCTGGAGGGCTAGGAGATGAGAGAGCCTGGAGAGAATTGTACGGGAAAGGCTAAAACAGAGGGGACCTTGCAGTGAGAGCTAGCAGGTGGATTGACAGCCTCTTGAAGTTGATGGAGAGGCATGGCTGGGCATTTCTCTTGCTAGAATTCAGTCTGATTCCTGTGAAACAGTGAGCTCCCTGTGAGAGACGGGGGCAGGCTCTGTTAGCTCCTCAAATACTGTGTTAGTCCAGCTGTAAATGAATTGCTTTGTGTTTAAATGTTTCTATAACACAGCAGTCTGTAGCTGAGTGGCACTGGAGAGAGACTGACATCCTCTCCTAATGGGGACAATAATACTCCTTCCTTCTGCAAAGTATCTTCTGTTTGAGCATGACAGCAAGTGACTGCCTGATCTTCCTGTGTTTCCCATGATGGGAGTACATATAGCTTTGAATCTTACATCTGCAAGGTGTTAGCTGCCTGCTGCCAAGCTTTTAACTCCTCTGCCTCTGTGCTGTGAATTGCTGGAAGAGAGAGCCCTTGCAGCAAGCAGCCTAGTCTTGGCCTTGACAGTGCAGAGGAGCAGACGCGCGTTGGCCCGAGAGCTGCTCAGGAACCGCTCGCTGAGATGTAGGGATGGAGAACTGTCTGCCTGGGCGGTAGCAGCAAGCATAGCTAGCAGTGAGCTGCTTCTCAGCATGCTCCCTTCCCCTCAGCCTTCCCCTTACTGGTTGCTGCAGGAGAAAGCACAGGAGAGTGTTGAAGAGGTCTCTGTATATCTGCTCTCCTGGGTCCTCTCTCGTTCTTCCATCCTGAGCAATGAGGTGATGCCAGCTGTGACTCTGCTCCTCAGTAGCTTCTTGTTGGCCTCTGAGGCCCAAGGTTTCTGGTGCGTTCCTGGAAGGCAGCAGAGCCAACAGTTTGAGCTGCTCATCCAGCCTTTGTCACCTGCAGCCCCTCTTGCCCCTCATGCAGTAGCTCCCTGTATGCACCCTAAGGGATGCTGCTCTCATCCACTGGACCGGTGGCACATGGGCATCATATTCTGAAGAGTCTGGGGTTGTCCCTGCAGTCCCTGGAGAGCAGGAAGGCAAGCAGCATTTCCCTGGACTAGCCCTTGGCTTGGCCTCTGCACCCCAGCCCCTGCCTGCCGATTCCTGCCAACTGTGGGGACCACCTCGTTCACGGATTCAGCCCTTGCCCTTCGTTCTCTGAAGGAGCAGGGCGCTGAGCTGCCTGGGGGATGGCCGTGCCAGCACTACCTGGCAAAAGCTGGGCTGTGGCTGCTTCCCCTTGGTGCTGGTCTCCTCCCTCCAGGCGCTGCTGGGGAGGACAAAGCTGCTGGGAGGCTTCGCGCTGCCCCTGGCCCAGCTGTGCTCCGGTGCCAGGGCTTGCAGGGACAGAGCCTGAGCACTGCAGCTTGTGTGGCAGGCTGAGCTTTGTTTGCCCCTTCGTTCTGGGAAACAAATCCCTTTGTTTTATTCGCTGTCTATTGTTCGGATCATGTCAGGATCCTTGCTGTCCCAGACACAGGCCGTTCTCCCTCGGCATTGGCCAGCTTGCACTTTCTGAGCATGGGCTTATTGGGGTGAGCACTTGCCTCTCCTGGGACAAAGGCAGTACTTCTGCGGCCTCCGTTTTCTCCATCCTCTTCCCTTATGGGGCTGGCACGGAGCAACATTGGGGCAGGCTTGGCAGAGAAACGAGACTGTGCAGAAAGTCACAGGAATGCAAAACTTTCCCCTATCTGCTCCAGTGGCTGCAGCAGGGTCACGAGGAAACTGGCACAGAGAGCACTCGTCCGGCTTGCCTGCCCGTCTGTGCCGAGCGGCTGCTGCCCTTGCACCGGCTTGGTCTCCTGGTGCCTCCTCCTGCCCCTGAGCAGACGGCTGTGGGGTGGCATTAGCCTCGTGGGCCAAGACCCAGGCTTTGTCCTCTGTTTTCCTTTGCCCTGGCAGGAAGGAAGGCTGTGCTGCCTCTACACGAATCCCCTACAGCCTTGCACTCTACCTCCTTGTATCTGCGTGTGGTGGGACAGGACGATCTCTTGGGCTTTCCTTTTCTTTCCTTGCCCTGTTCTTCCCTCAGCATGGGGGACCCACGTGCAGGCGTGCGGAGGGAGCTCCCCTCTGACTAGGGCTTCACGGCGTGGGTCTCGTGCTCTCTCCGCAGGAAATCAGCCTGGAGTGGTTTCTCAGACTGTGGGTTCTAATTAGTGCTGCATTAAGGCACCTCAGAAATTCCTTTCACAGTTAAGAAGCAAAACTCTCCCATTAGTTAAAGGATTAAAATCCTGTTGCCAGTGACTACAGCTAGGTTATGTTAATCCCCACCTAATTGCCATGTGGCTGGAATTTTAAGGTCAGGCTTCATATGGAGCTCAAATTCCCGTGCTGGATGTGCTCAGTGCTACTCCAGTCAACTTTTTGTTGTTTTTTCCCCATTCTTTCCTCCACTAAACTGACCAGAATAAATTCACTCCAGAGATGGACGCGTCTCAATGCTGGTTGAAATGAGCTGGCAGTTCTCTCAAGCGCATGCAGTAAGGAGAGCAGAAGAATTGGTTGATCGCTGACTTCTTGTTTTTTGCAGAGGCCAGCAAGGAAACCTGAGAGGCAGAAATTGCTGCTGTATTGTTGAGCAAAAGTTTCGATTTGACGCTGTCAGCCAGTAACTCCAACATGCGTTTACCACTGCAGATTGCTTGAGCCTCTCCCTTAGGATTTCATAGTGACAAACTTGTTTCCTCTCCATGTTCATCAGCTTCTGATAATACAAGATTGGATATAAGCTTATACCCTCTGCCTACCCATTCTTTCCATGACCTAGACGGTGCTAGGGAAGAGCAGAACCCTTATGCTCTGCAATAACCAGCAACCTGCAGTGATTCTGCTGGGTTATTTTGGATCGTATGCCAAGGAATTAAAGCAACTTCCCATCTGTTCTGGTTAGTCTGATTAGCATCTCCTGCAGTTGTAGCGGTGCCAGATGACCCACCCGTGTGCCATGGCTGCTTCCCGCTACTCAGTAGGTCTGCATGTGGCATTAGCCTTGTTTACTCAGCTTTTAACTGAAACAGTAGTTCTTTCTGCCAGCTTCCTCTGCCCACATGATGCTACTCTGGCCTTGGTCCGTATCGGAGCTGGGGCACGCAGATAGCTGACCTGGGAGTCTGTGCACCCCTATTTCCCTCCTGGCTGGCTGACCTGAGGGGCAGCATGATCCAACTGGGCCTGAGCCAGGCTTGGCTTGATCACCAGTGCAGTGAATTCAATGAGTAAATAAGCAGCAGTGCGTGACTCTGCATGGGGACAAAGTATATCTTGTTGCTTTTGCAAGATTTTCATCAGATGTTCTATTGACGTCGATTCCCCTTTACGCTCCCCTCAAAACCCCCTCTGTAGTGGGTCTGGCTCCATTCCTGCCACGTCGGAGAGTGTCGGCCCGTTCCTGCAGCTGGGAAGGAGAAGGATTTGAGGTCATTACTCCTGTTCCTGGCACAAACTTGCGCAGCTGGAAGGCAGGAATTTGACCGGTAGCAAATGCAAAATGCTGTCAGTCTTTAATGATGTTGTGATGTCTTCTTGCAGGCTAATATTGGCCAAATGGATACACCCAAAGAGCTCTGGAGGATGATAACAGGGAACATGGCTCTGATACAGGTAAGGAAATGTGAAAGGAGAAGAAAGTGGGAGTATTGGTAGTTGGTGTAAGCCAACTGTGACAAGTGTCAGGTTTAAATGCCTGCTTTTTGGTATTGTCAGCTTCTGGTCCCACAGTCATCTAACCGTAACGGTTTGCTCTATAGGTGAGACTTGGTGTTTCCCTGCTAGATGCTAATCCACCTGAAATGGTGGTACCCTGGGTGGTGTTTCCCTCTTTCCTCACCCCGGGACTGTTTTGCTCTCTTGGTGACTGTCTAGTTTTTATTTTCAGGTTCAGGCTACTGTGGTTGGCTTCCTGGCCTCAATCGCAGCAGTGATATTCGGATGGATCCCAGATGGGCACTTCAGCATTGACCATGCTGTCCTGCTTTGTGCCAGCAGTGTGGCTACTGCTTTCATTGCTTCCCTTGTTCTGGGTGAGAGACAGACCCTGCACGCCCTCCATGCACCTCTTCCTACAATGATGGGCTGTCCTTGGTCTCATCCTGTTTTCTTCCTCTTTTTGGCTGTAGGCATGATTATGATTGGGGTCATCATCGGCTCCAGGAAGATGGGGATCAATCCTGATAATGTCGCCACACCAATTGCTGCCAGCCTGGGGGATCTCATCACCCTGGCTCTGCTTTCAGGAATCAGCTGGGGCTTGTACAAAGAGCTGGGTGAGGAGCAACAAAAGGCCTTTGTCTCACTCTGGTCCTTCCACGTGCTGTTGCATCTCCCTCGCAATTCACCCTCTTCCTTTGCCCTTCCTGTTCTCGGGGTATATAGGATGGCTGGCCTGGAAGCTACCTCAGTTTTGGATTTCATCTTTTGTACTGTCAGCACCAGCTGGGGATCCTCAGTGCAAAGCTGCAGCTGTAGATGCTAGACTTCCTCCTCCCTCCCCTCCACCTTCCTTCCCTGGCGGCTGGGATGCAAGGGATGTGACTCAGCCAGGTTCAGCCAGAGGTGAAGCAACACTGGGAGGTCTTGCCCAGGAGTGGGAAAGTGGGAATGAGCAGTTAGACATTGAAGAGATCTCACTCGGATCTGTTGATAAAGCCCCTGTGAGTACAGGAGAAGGAAAAGCCATGTCCTGCAGAGCTGAGGCTGGTCTGGTCTAGTTTGCCTGCCCTCACTGGAGTTTCTGAATCCAGGGGTGACAGCAGTCTGTAGGCAGGTTTGATGAGCTCCGCTGAGGTAGCACCCCACCTCACTGCAGCGGGATGTGTCCTTGATCTGTTGCCTCTGCTTATTTCCCCCTCAGAGAGCAAAGCCTACGTGAATCCTTTGGTATGCGCCTTCTTCATAGCTCTGCTGCCCATCTGGATCATCGTGGCCAAGAAGAATGCAGCAACTCGGGAGGTGCTGTACTCTGGCTGGGAGCCAGTCATTATCGCAATGGCTATTAGCAGGTAGGAAGGCGTGGAGGAGTTCCTCTCCACCAAACACAGACGGACGACACATCCTTTCCCCCGGCCCTTTCAACCTCTTAGCCCTTGGTGGGTTCTGGAACAAGAGGGGACCAAACCTCTTCTGCTTCCACAGTCCAGATTGCCAGGAAACTGGAAGTTATTTTGTGTTTTCTAGACAAAAACACGGGGTTCTAGGTCCCGAGGCACAGGAGTGATTAAGTACCTGGCTGCTGGAATCCAGGGCCTTAGCAATGTCCCAGCTGCTGCACAGGGAGACTCTGGCATGGCCATGGAGTAAACACACATCCCATTTAGCAGTCTTCTGCACAAGAGCCCTCTCTGCCCTCTGAAGGGCAGGATTGCTTTTGATTATTGTGTTGCAGTAAACTGTACGTTAGGGGATTTGGTCCTTGATGGTTTTTGGCAGCAATGAGAAAAGATCCTGCTAAAACTGTCTTCTGTTATCAAATATTGAGGCTTAAAATCATGTGCAACAACCGCAACCATAAGTGCATGTTAATAGGTGTATACATCACCCTTGGGTGCACACACTGCAACAGAGAGACCCCTCAGTGCTTTGTGTGAGTATTTCCTAATGAGCTTTCAGCACTGACCTCTTCAATCTTCCCTCTGCAGTGTTGGGGGTTTAATTTTGGACAGAACAGTCTCAGATCCAAACTTTGCTGGGATGGCTGTCTTCACGCCGGTTATTAATGGTGAGTTCCTTTCCACTCTGGTATTGCAGCTCTTGGAGACTCCTGGCAGACAGTGGAATTGTCCCGTGTGCCTTATTTCAGGCAGATTAATGAGACTAATTCCCTTTTGATTGCCAGTGAGACGTGGTGGTTAGACCCAAGCTTCACAACAGCGTGGCTCACTCTGGTTCCAGCCTTTCACCAGAGGGTGACTGGCCTGGGAGGCTGTTGCCTTAAAAGACACATTTTCCAGGGGCCCAACAAAAGCTGTCTTTACTTCCTGATTCCTCCTGGCTGGTGGACCAGACCCCCATCTTCCGAGATATGTGCCTTGTGGCACCTGCTGACATAAAGATTTGGATTTGCAACTCGGAATCAGGAAATCTAATTGCTTCTGGTGTAAAGCTTTGACCTCCTTTCTGCCTAATGAACCAGGGAAACTCCTTTTTTTTATTACTTTTTGCAATAAACAGAGTTAATTCTGAGCCAGTGCATCTTGGGCTAGTGGGTTCCACAGTTTCGTTATGCCTCATGCAAAAAATAATAGTGTTAAACTTCCTGTGTCTGTTTTGGTGGCTGACTTGTCATTTTTTTGTTTCACGTATCTCTTCCAATCAAAGCTGCAGTAATAGAATTGCATCTATTTTACTAAGGGGCCTAAGGGGAAACCGTAGAACAGTGTGCTTTGTCTCAGCTCTTTACATCCTGCAAAAATGGAATTCGGGTCAAAAATAGACTGTCCTACGTTATTTCAGCACCTGGCAATTCCAGATCTGCTGGCTGTTGAAAATAGCTTTTGCTCTTTAAAGTGTTTGAGACGTCATCTTACTGCTCTCTCCTTATCCGCAGGTGTGGGTGGCAACCTGGTGGCAGTGCAGGCTAGTCGCATCTCCACTTACCTGCACATGAGTGGGATGCCTGGAGATGGCTCCGAAACAGCCCCTCGCAAGTGCCCCAGCCCTTGTAGCACTTTCTTCAGCTCAGGTAAGCAAGTCGGGTGTCGAAATATATCGACTTCTGCCAGCAGCGGGTGCTGCAGTTGGCTGGCTAAAGGTGTCTGTGACAGCCGCTGGAGGCTGTCACAGGAAATGGTGACTGAGGTCTGCTCAGAGGCAGCTGTCAGCTCACGGATGCGGCTGGTCTTCTGGCCTGGCCTGCCCTCTAGAGACGGTCAGACCTTTAGCAAAGCCGCTGTGCGAGAGGACGTAGCCCTGCTGGATGAGGAAAGCATGGTGCAGAAGTCCCGTGCCCTGATGGTCTCATACTGTAAATCCTCCACCCTCTAGATCTTTTCCAGATGTGTCCAGGATACCGAAACCTGCCTTGAGGCTGCTCGAGTGTTGCAGCTCTGCTGGGCTTATAGAGCTGCAGTAACAGAAATCTTCGCGTTTACGAAGGCTTCCTAACAGCTCTGTTATTTGTGGCAGTTGTGTGGCAGAGCACAGCCTAAACTTGCGTTCCAGCACAGAGTGCGGGCAGAGGTTATTGCTCTCCAAGCTTCCTAGAGAGGCTTGATAGCCTGCAGCCTGGGTCCCGGCCTTCTGGGCCGCGGCTGTCCCTGAAGAGGAAGGAGGGGCGAGAGGTCTCCAATGTGGTGGTGATCTGTTAGGAAACTGATCGCCAGACGAGGTGCAGACAGAGCTCCGAGGAAGTTCGATGTTTGTGGTAAACTCTTGACAGCTCCGTACTGAGCACGGTCAGAGATGGGACCTGAGTACTTTTGGCAGCTGAGATCCGAGAACGGCTTTTGCTCTGAGGACAGAATTAAGCTCTCCTACCGAGCTTGGTGCAAAGAGTCCTTGGGCATCCTGACAGTGGGGTCACCATTCAGCGCGCTGCCTTTCAGCCTAAATCTGCAGCGTGCTGGTCCCTGCTTCCAATTTGACCATAGTTGTACTGCCTTTTCCCCTGGAGCCCAGGGAGGCTGCAGAGTTACTGTGTGTTCAAGCCTATCTTAAGCCTGAACTCCATCTTTGTTTCCTTGCAGATGTGAATTCTCGCTCTGCTCGCGTGCTCTTTCTTCTGGTGGTGCCTGGACACTTGGTTTTCCTTTACACCATCAGCTCCATGCAAGGTGGACACACTACACTCACCCTGATTTTCATAGTCTTCTACATGACAGCTGCGCTTCTCCAGGTAAGCTGGAGCCCCTCCGGGGGCTGTAACCCCTCAGGCTGGAATGAGGGGACGCTGCCATATCCTCTGCAGTGGGGACCTGTTCAGCCAGTTAAGTCATAAATACACTGCTGAAAGCACTGCGATATACCCTGTCCCTAGGCAAGAGATTTATGTGCTGGAGAGAGGTATGCCAAGTAGATTTGTATTTGTCAAATGAGCTGGTATCGAACTGAATAAATCCTTCTTCGTTGATACCTGTACACACAATTTTTCCTTCCTACCATTCTTGGCAAGTTTTGAATCTGTCTTTTGTCTCTTTTAAGTCCTTCTGATAGCAGAAGTGTTTACCCCTTGTGTGTTAATCTGTCCTGTAAGGTGCTTTGGCAATTTTAAAACTGCTGGTGAAGAAAACAGGATGTGGAATTTGCAGGGACCCCACGCCTTGTGTGACTTGTCCTGCCCCTTCCCTGCCTCCCCTGCAGGGTAGAGACCTGCCAGACCTGCGGCACGGGGCTCTTGGTCTCCTCGCAGGAGCTGCGTCAGCCCATAGCGATGGCTGTTCTGAGTGTCGTGCCCAGACCAGGGCATTCATGCTGCAGAAATCCAGCGGCCACTTGCAGGGGTCTGGCTGCCTGTGTTGGAGGGCAGGGAGAGAAATCCGGTTAGGGAGTTTCCTACTAAGCCCAGCTACGCTCCCCCCTGCTCACCCCCTCCGCTTGTGGAAGCTGTGCCTGGTTTCAGTGTCCCCTAAAATCAACAACCGAGGCCAGCGTGAGGAAATGAGTCAGAGCATCCATCAGAGGCAAGAGCAGAGTGCTGTCATCCAGGAGGCTAAATTTAGGTTGTGAACTCCTGCTGGGTGCTTGGGCACTTGGAGGGGGCTTCCGCTCGCAGCTGCTCTGCAGAGCCACTGCTGTGAGCAGCCTGCAGGCTTGGGAGCACCGGAGCTCAGCTGGCAGCAGAGGGACCACCGCGTGCTGGCTGCGGTGGTCCTGAGCTCCACTGTGTCCTGAGCGAGACCCTCCCAGCCCCGGAGACACCAGAGGCATTAGCAACAGGGCTGCGGCCAGTTCAAATCCCTGTCCCAGACGTAAGGCTTGAGAGGATCCAATGCGGATTTCTTCTGTCTTTAGACAGAAGCCTTCAATACGAGCCTCTCGCTGCGTTGAAGCAGATGGGGGAGAACATCACGCGCCGGTAGTTTCAGCTGCCGGGCAGTTGCTTTTTTTATTTCTGGAGGCCAGGCGTTGCTGTCCCTTCCTGAGCATCCTGCGTGCTTCCAAGTCCCTCTTTGTCCCATATCTCTTCAAGCTTGTTCTGGTTAGATCTGAAAACAGATGCAAAATTTAGACTTTTTGGTGTTTGTTTCAGAAAGTGTTCTCCTTTCTAAGCCTAAATTTGATGGTGACATGTGAAGCTAAAGAAGAATAGGGCAGAGGCTGTTAAGGACACAGGGGATTTGGATGCCCAGGGGCCCACTGAAACTCGCCAAGTTCCTCTTTGTGCTGTACTTGTTGCTTTGGGGATGCAGCCTGCATTAAATGCCTGGAGTGCAGCGCTCAGCGAGGTGGTTCTGACCTGCCACCAGCTCTGTTCCTTGGATTGAGGTTGTGCCCTCGGGCTGAGCCCGGCCTGCCCAGCTGGAGTTGCCCCAGCTGATGCTCCCCGAAGCTGGGATTGCAGAGGTCAGGATCTGTGGCTGATGTGGCTCTTTTCTTCCTGCCTCCCAGGTTCTCATTCTTCTGTACATTGCTGACTGGATGGTGCACTGGATGTGGGGCAGGGACCTCGATCCCGACAACTTCTCCATCCCATACTTGACAGCGCTGGGGGACCTGATTGGAACAGGTCTCCTCGCTCTCAGCTTTCACGTCCTCTGGCTCATCGGTGACCGGGACTCCGATGTGGGAGACTAGCTCTCCGTGCTGCCACCCCCCCTTGTCACAGCTCTCCTCCTCCTTTCATTTTGTTGTTGTTGTTTCTTTTCCTCCACCCTTGCTCTCTTTTGCTTCCTCTCCCCACCCTGTCTCTCTTGAGACTTCATCTTTGATACTGGATTCTCATTATTTTCAATGGGAATTTTATGTGGTTTATATTTCAAGCCAAGTTTGTACAGAAAATAAATCTAGTTTTAGGAAGGACAAAAAAAAGTGTAACGAGACAATCACCAAGTGCAATTTCATAGTAGTTATGTCTGAACCAAGGTTGCAGTGAAGATACCGATCAGTCAGATCACGCAGGGAGCCCACCCTGTCCCAGTCACTAGAGGTGAAGGGCTGCTTTTTTCGCTTCATAAGCGTTTTAAATGCTGGAGGTAAGGTTCAGATTTATTTTACTGAACAGGCACCTTCTAGCAAAGTACAACCTCACGGATGAGGGCGTGGGGTATCTCCTGTCTTCTCTGCCCTGTCGCCCTCCTCCCTTGTGTTTGCTCTCTGAATCCCTCTCCTGTGCCTGGCATCCAAAGCACGCGAGTCTCTGGTAGAGGGATTAGCGAAGATGGCGAGGAGGGGTCCTCTGTGCCGAAACACCCATTCCTGTGTGCCCACGAGGAAAGTGAGTGATGGCGGGTTTGAGGACTGCAGAGCCCTGAAACCTGGCTGTGAGCAGGCTGGTCTCTGCTGACAGATTTAGGCTCCCTTTTGCCAACCATCCGGCAGCATCTCAAACTGCAGACTACTTGTTCTGCCTCTCATGGTGAACTGAGTTCAGCTGCCGCCGCAGGCAAAGGGATGTGCTCTGCGCTTTGTCTGAAGAGGCCGTGAGCTCTCCCCATCTGTCCTTCTCCCCTTCCGCCTGCCGGTGCTCCGCTGGAGGATCTGCCGGAGCCGTCATGGATGCTGTGTGCAAGCCTCTCCTTTGTGCTGGTATGGGCACAGCACTATTTTCACGGCAGCCTGCTCAGTTCAGTTGACTTTTCTTTCCTGGGGAGGTGGATGGAAAAATAGATCCTATTTTGTGTGTTAAGATTTTCTTCCAGCTGCTGAGTGCTGCTGATGGGCCCATTGCAGCTGGGAAGAAGCCACCCGATACCTCTCCCAGTTGAGCCTGAGGCATTTCAAGCTCGGGAGCATCAGGCTCTTGGTGTCTCTTAGAAAAGGACATCCACGTTCAGCCGCTGGATTTCTCTGTATGTGTAGGCGCCAGCCGGAAAACAGGCCAGCGGACGCAGTCAGATTTCTGAAGCCCGGGTTCTTGGCGCAGCTCTCTGTACAGGACTGTAGCAAAGGAACCCGCTTGCCCTTGAGCAGGCATGTAAAATCTGGCATCGGGGTTACAGCCCAGCTCGCAGGCGCTGGCCGAGCACTGCGAGTGCAGGGTTCCCTGCTCTGTTTCTTTCCCCTCCGCTTTTTGTGCTGTTCAGCTCGGTGATGGCCGAGATCCCTTCTCTTCTGCTGCTAGTGCGTGTTGGAAGGACTCTCCCGCAGTCTGCAGCGGCATAAGGAGAGAAAACCTGTTCTGGCTGTGTGACTAAGGCGGTTGTAGATGATCTTCCTGAACGCTGTCGGCACTCAATGCTTTTTAGTTTTCCCATTTGGATATAAATCAATTCAGTAAACTGAGTGCAGTTTGATGTAAGCAGGTCTTATTGAGTTGGAACCTTCACCCAGTTACGCTGAGTTTAAATGATGTGCTCAGGCAGAGAGCGCCATTAAACAGGCTCTAATGCACGAATATAAATTGAATGCATAAGCGTGCGTGGGGGGAAAGCTCTTAACGTCTGTCAAGGATGGAGAGAATACAGTACATCCCATGGAGCCTAATTTCAGTCCTGCACTGCCCAAAGCTTGGGGAGCTGCCAGTACCTTCCCAAACGCTGGGGGAATGCCTACAGTATTGGGCGTAGTGGCACCTTGCATCCTGACCCTGCAGTGCCAGCAAAGCTCTCGTTTTAGCTGTGCAGGCCCAGAGTGCTGCAGTTCTGCCCCTGGTCTGGACGCTGCCTGTCCTACTTATTTGCAGCTCCAGAACATAACCTGAAAGCTGCTGGATTTCTGGTTGTCTGCTTTTCCTCTTGCTTTAAGTGTGTTCCTCACAGCAGAACACAACTATCCTTGATCGGCCTAATTTCCTCTTTTAGGTTAACTTCTGTATTTCTCATACAAACCAATGCTCGTCTTCTCCTTTTGGCTTTCTGTCCCAGCAAGGCTGGGCGTCTCTGCTCAGCTGGAAGACGGTGCGATGTGGTGCTGGGAATGCTGATCGTCACCTGAAATGAGGCCAGGTGGGAAGATCTGTTTGTTACTCTGGACAATGCCAGAACTAGCTGAGCTCCACAAAGCCCTGCCTAAGTGCAGACAGTGTTGCTTTTTAGGTAAGGAGTGATTCGTTAGGAACGGTTCCTGCCTCCCCCCAGAAAAGAGCTGAATGCACCTCTTACGGTCCAAGTCAAGACCAAAGTTAGTCTGGGATCGGGCGTTGTCCCAACCCAGAGATCTGGTTGCAGAGCTGGTCCTTACTCTGGAAACGAGCGTGCTGGAAAGGAAGGTCAGGATCCGTGAGTGGGAAGCCAGTTCTGGAAGGCCACGGGAGCAGGTGTAGCCAAACCAAACGGCAGTCAGGCTCTTGCCTGCTCAGGACCTCTCTGAAGCTGTAGAAGAATCCTTTCCTGCTTCAGCGGGTGTACACTGAGCTCTCCTCCTCCTCCTCCTGCCGAAGCTGTTTGCAGTGTTCAGGAGGCAGCGATGGGGTCCTTGCCCTGTCGGGCTGCTCGCGATCAGACCCTCAGAAGAGCAGGTGATACGTTTTTGAGATGGCTTTTCCCTTTCTGCCTTGCTAATGTAACGTCAGGCTTGCTTTCCCCTTCCCCATCTTTGCAACGTGTCCTTTGTGGCAGTAGCTCTGACCCTCGTGCTCGCCACCCTAGTGACGTGACTTCTCACGGATCTCGTTTGGCCAAAGCTCTGTTCAGAAAAAAAAAAAAAACACCAAATAAAAAAACCCCAACAAACCAACCCTCGCACCCTACTGTACCGAAGTCTCAGCCCAGGGACTTCTGGAGTATTCTCTGCTGCTCACCTGATTTCTCTGCCTAATGTTGAGGAATAGATATGAGACTTCCTTCCATTAACACTTAAGCTTTTTTATATATATATTTTTTTTTTCATTAAAAAAAATATATATATGAGAAACTTTCCTGGTCTTTTAGGTGTCACATCACTATTTAGTTCCCCAAGAAAAGATTCCCCAGAGGAAGAATCTACCATTCATGGTCTCCTGTAAAATGAAGAGCCCCAGAGGTGATTGAGAGCTGTCACGCTGCGGGGATGGTGGTGTCTGTACACTTAGATAAGGTCTAAGGTGTGTGCGGGGAATAGGTCAGGGAAGAATCTAAGGTAAAATTGAAGAATATTGATGGTCAAAAACTTTTCCCCACCGGTTGCACTCAAATGCATGCCTACTATACAGCTGACTGCAAATGAAAAATACTGGTTTACTCTTTTTATTAAAGGAAAAAGACTGTCTTAATTATTTATAGTTCCTATAACTGAATTGACAGATGTCAACTTAACTGATAAATTATATTTGGTTAAATAAAGATGACATTTATTTATGTGGACTGCGGTGTCTTCATACGCCTCTACGTGGTTAAAGGTCTTTCACACTTTCACATTTCGCAGCTTATTTTAGCTGACACTGAAACTCTCTTGATACGCAGTGGAATGAGAGGTAAGAAAATCGAATAAATTGCTGTGCACGAAGCAAACTGTGCGATTAGCATAAATGAGAGGTTACCAGGCTGGCTGCGGCCGTGCCCTTGGTTGGATCCAGGTAGCTGCACGGGGGCTCCCAGCAGGACCCGCGGGGGTTTGTCGTCGGCCGCTTGCCGTGTACAGAAGTCCTGCCCTGGCTCGCGTGCGGCCTCTCTGCCCGTGACTGTTGATTAAGGTATGTGGGACGAAAGGGTTCTGCACACTAAGCCCCTGAATTTGCAGGAATTAGTGGCCCTCGGAGGACTCCCGTCCTCCCCAGCTGCGGGATTTGCTGTTGTGGGCTGTTTTCCTGTAGGGCTGTGCCTCCCGGCTGCTCGCCCAAACAAGGATCTTGTTGGAGAGTCCTAAAACAAAGCCCTGGCAGCGCCAGGGACTGGGGAGCAGCCACCAAGACCTTGCTGGCTCCGGCTTCTCCTCTGGCCCTGGGCCCCGCTGCCCCAAGTTGCAGGTCGTTTCCCACACCCCCTGAACCTCAGGGTGCTTGGGCACAGGGTGGGTCATTTCATTCGATGTCTTGGTCCCTGGGGGACAGGGTTGTGTTTTCCTTTTCTGGCTGGGGGAAAGAGGGATGGGGGAAGCTACTGAACGCTTCCGACAGAAACATTTTGGCATTAACTTAAGACCTTGAAGGAATCCCAACAACGGTGTAGCGTGGCTTTGAAAAATATATGTACGTGTGTGTGTGGTGTGGATTACTTTCATTTGTCTTCTGGTTGCAAAGGGGCAGGGCCCAGGGGTTCAGGGGAGCATGGGGCTGGGTCTGGGGGTGCAGGGGAGCATGGGGCTGGGTCTGGGGGTTTTGGGGAGCATG